AGCAAAGGTTCACATATTTTTGTGCACACAAATATGTAAATATCTATGGAGATTCTCAGTCATTCAGGTCATGGTTGTCCCAAAGGTGCTTTTCCAAAAGGTAACTGGACTTTGTTTCTTCAGTTCTGAAGAAACCTCTTGGATAAGAAGTAAAACATCTTCAAAGAAAAACAAAGTCCATTTGAACAAGCACCTTTGAGACACAAATATGTAATTTTGGATAATTTTCCTCAATAAATAAATGAACAGTGTTTTTGACATTTGTTTAATTAAACAAGATCTAATCTAGTTTTAGGGCTTGTGTACAGAACAGGTCGTGTTTTATACATATTTGTGCAGAAATATTGAAAATTCAAAATTATTCACAAACTTTTAAGCACCACTGTGAAATGTATGTACTTAAAAGGGTGCAAAATACATTCTGTTCACTATTCAGTGACAAGATATATTCCAATGTTTAAACGATCCCATTATCAAGCTTGACAAAGTGATTTTTTTCAAAGTGGTTGGTTTCTTTTTCTTTCATTCTTGATATACGTATGGTTTGTCATTATGGGCTAATCATACTTATCATGAAAAATGAAATGCTTATGTTGAGGGTCATTTGAGAATTAAATGTTTCTATGTAATGTTTTCAAACCTTTGCAATTGCTGGATGTGTGGTTTTCAATTCCTAGAACTCCCCAGCCATTGTGATTGTCAGACATGTCTTCTACTTTTGTTTGCTTGAATTCTGCATGTTTGGAATTTATTTTTTAAAATATATTGGGTGGCCTGCCTATCTTAAACAACTATGTTGCTATAATAATGGAGGGTTTATTTAAAAAAAAAATGCCTAAATTGCTAATGTCTTGTTCTTTCCAGGCTTGTATGGTAGAAAATGAGTGTGAAGATCCTAGTCAAGAAACAATCACATTCCTTTATAAATTTGTTAAGGGGGCTTGCCCTAAAAGTTATGGATTTAATGCTGCAAGGCTTGCTGACATTCCAGAAGAAGTGATTCAGAAAGGCCACAAAAAGGCAAAAGAGTTTGAAAAATCTGTTCTTTCAATGAAAGTATTTAGGTAAGTTCATCATTTTTCAATTATTCATTATATTTTTTTTTAAATAGAAAAGTGGTCACAAATATTCCTTAAAGTACCTCTGCAACCCAAGGGAAGGCTTAAAACAAACATGGGGAGAGATGTTGAGGGGGGGGGGAGGAGTAACCCTAGTTTCCAACTTTTGTTGAACCTGCAGTATCTTTAACCATTGGCTAGAATTACAGAGAGTTGTAATTCATAACTAATTAGAAGACCCATTTCTCAACTAGTTTTAAAAATAGTGCTTTGGACCTGAAGTGCAATGTCAGATTTGTGTTAAGGCTTCAATGGAAAAATGTATGCACCATCTGGATCAGTAAATCCAGAGCTATACATTTTCTGCATATTAAAATGGGTTGAGGATTGAGTAATTGTGCTGGAATAATTGCATGTTTGCTTTTGCAGGAATCTTTGTTGGATAGCTGAAGGAGCTTTAGCAGCCAAAGACTATCTTGACAAACTAACTCTGCTTCATGTTTGAGACCCTGTATAGTTTTTCCAGCAGTTTTCAAAGGCAGTATGTAAACAACACAATGATCTAATAAACTTTATTTTTTAAAAATGACCATTTTCCATTGTCTTTCCTAGGAAATTAAACCCTTTTAATTCTTAGCTACCCTCTACATAATGATTATTGAATACTCCACAATATATTAAGTCTAGATGTTATGGTACATGCATACACTTTCAGGCTGTTGATTACCCACTGTCACCAATACACATAAATGGAAAAAAGCTATGAAACTGTATAGGGCGTCTATATACTTTTTCTCATCTTCATTGGAGCAGGAAATTACAATTGTCAGCAGTTCATAAGAGTAATGTCTAGACTGTTCAATAAAACTGTGAACAGAGTAAAATACAGGATTGTTTTTAGGGAGATCCTTACAGTGTACTTTAAAACACAGTAAAACCTCCTCTTGCAAACTGTCACCTGTGTACTTTGTTTTATAGTGCATTATCTCCCAAAAAGTCTCATTAAAACATTGTTTTGTGAGGTGATGTAAATCATGAGGATTGGAAAAAAGGGAAGGGGAGATTCTAACTGCAAAGGATACCAGAAAAATTGCTGGATATAATTTAAGATTAGTGTTCTCTTTCATAGAAAGAACATACATACTGGGACATGAGTACAGTTACAGCAAGTCTAGGTGTGCTAACAAAACAGGACACATTCAAGTACAATAAAGATTTGCTTGAAATTAAAAACTACATGAGATTAAAGCATTAAAATCATCTCAATCTGAATAAATGTTAAAAAACCAAAATAAATGCGGAAGTGCTAGCTCACATTTTTACCATATTACAAAAAGCAATTGGTACCCATGTCCATAAAGGCAGCAACAAAGACTGCTGCTCGTCTATAGAATAGGACTACTGCAAATGGGACTGCGTTTCAATGCTACTTGTAGAAACACCAGTCTTTTGGAAGTTGCCATCTGTACAAATACACGGCTCACTTTCTTCACACCTGTCCCTTAGTCTTTTACACAGTAATGCTGAAACGCCCAGTTCTGTTATCCTGAGTCAACATATTGCCACTTTCTTTTTGGTAGGTTGAGCTCCATAGTGTCACCATTTATTATCCATTTTAAAGTCTCTGCAGAAATGGGCAAGTATAACTTCCTCCAAAAAAAAACAAAAAACCAAAATAATAGTTACAATAGAATGGCAGGACTTTTTTTTCCTCAAAAGTAATTCAGTTGTGCTGCAGTGTATTAGATTCTATAGGAGGAGCAGAGTCATATAGTGTATCTGTATCATGTGTCGGTTCTCCAGCTAGTGTACAGGGATTGGACAGTGTTCCAGCACCACAGTCGCAAAAAAACCTGAAAGAGAGAAATCTTTTAAATATTTATTGAAAAAGTTCAACTTATATTTAACAGTCTTTCAGCAAAGGTTATGCAACATACCTATCGTGTCTAATAAATTCGACATCATGTCCTTGATGGCACTTCTTAATACAATTTACACATATAGCATTGCGGTCCGTGGTATTACATGTATGACATCTACAAAAAATAAAGGAAAGAAATAATTAGACTTTCCAAAATCCAAATCAACAGGGCAGAAGGATTTATCATGTTTAGTTGCTTACCTGTAGAAATCATGCATCGGATAGCTGGTGTAACTTGATATTTTATATAGACACTGGCCTCTACTAACAGCTTTTTCAATGGCGTCTTGATTGTTCATTATTTTATTATCTATATTAAATGGCAGATTTCACAGTATTAGTTTACCATATTGATGTTTGATAACACTAAAATAGTTTGAATTGGAAACCTTCCAGTATTCTACTTCTTAAAATATTCCTTCAGAGTTTAATTGTAATTTCAAAGGAATTTAGTAATACAAGTCTTAATGCATGCCTTATTTCTTAAATGCAGCAAAGCTATCCAGGAGCACCTCATTCCTTGTCAATAGTTGTCCCATATGTCTTTGGCTTGTATTCTCTTTATTTTTCTGAGGTCCTGAGTATTAAATACTGCATATTATGTTGTCCCCAATGTTTGGGAATGGTCAACACTCAAAAACTGAAGCCTAGATCTTCACAACATGACTGCCTTCAGAGATGTTACAAAGTTCTGAATGATCAGAATGTAATCAATTTTTGTATCTCTCTTTTGAGGAATGACTACAAATCAAAGAGCTGAAACTGCCTATCCTGTTTATTTTGCAAGAAAGCTTAGGGAGGCCAAATACATTCTTGAACATAATACTAAAAGCTTTTGAGAAGAACTACCACCATTTTTTTAAGTGAAAAAGAGGCCAGAAACCTGGACAAGTGCCAGGAAAGCAAGAGCAAGGAGATAGATATTATGCCTAAAAAAGCAATGCAATCAGAGATCAACAAAATAACAAAGACAAGAGGTTATGAATGCAAGAAATCAAGAGAACCTTTTATTCAAGGAAGGAAAAAGCCTACTCCAGAGAAAAGTTCATGCAAATATATAGAACTACAGAAAAATATTCATAAAACTGATGATATATGTGAAAGTTTAATCAGTGAAGTATCTAGATGTATCTAAAGAGTGAAATTATTTTATGTTCACAATCCATAGCAGTCAGAACAAGAACTAGCTCTGAATGAAAGATTTTTGTTTACAACAAATTACCACAGTACTCATTACAAAAACTTAGGGCTATATCTCTTACCCCAGTATATTTCTGCTCGTTCAACAAACTATTCCCTGAAGCATGAAGAAATGTTCCCATTCTGTCCTTTTGAAATCTTTTAACCCAACCCTCCAAAGTAGATTTAAGAGTTTACTGGAAAAGCCTGTTCTATTGTGAGATACCTTTCCTTCAGTGGATGGTGACTGGGTTGTGTTTTTAAAGTTGTTCTAAATATTAAGATGGTTCCTTATTTTTAAACAGCCATACTTATGAAAATAGATAATTGTGCAAAAATAAAATATTCCAACAGTTTTAGTATGCTACAAATAAGTATAATTTACTTACCTTTCATTGTCACATTGACCCCAGAGGCTAGAAATAAACCTCCAAATCGATTATTGAAAATCTGATTGCCTTCTAAAGTTGCAGTTGCATGATTTGTTATTTCAATACCTTAGGTTAAAAAGAAAAAAATATTTTAATAATCACAAAACTTGTATTTTACTAGTTACATAAACTCCACATGGCTTTAAAAAATGCCAACTAGGAAAAAGCACTCATTAGATGCACTCACGCTGAAGCTGATTACAACTTTCAGTATTCAAGTATCAACATTTTGTAATATTTATTAAACACTGAAGCACTGCTTTAGGAAACAGATGGTTAGGTTCAATCCCATGAATACAAAGGGAACAGGGCAGGGCAAGAATTGAGTTTTGGGATTATATAATGGGCTTCATTTGATCTATTTTCAAATGAAATTTTCCTTAAAAAGCAACTCAATTGCATGAGTGCATTTATTTTTATTCAACATATAACCCTGCTGTACACAAAGTGTACTATTTAAAAGTTAGTTGTGTCAGTAGCATTGCAGTTTTTACTTGGGAATTCTACATATTTAATATGTGTAGCCTACCATATTCTTTGAGATACTCCAGTATTGCAGCCTGGTATGTTTATATGCAAGTTTATTCTTAAAGAGTAATATGACTTTGTATGCCAAGATATTCAACAAAAGCAAAGTGCTATTTTAACTTTGGTAAAACTCAGTAATTATGGCTATTCTTTGAACATTCCCCAAAGGAGATATTTATACAGGGTAGTAAATATATCTGGGGACTGGGCAGATAACTACATTTCATGAAAAATTACAGATCTTTTGATTTCAATATAAAGCAATTCAGCTGCTAATCACAATGGCAATGTTGGCTTGGGATGGTGCCAGAAGAGACTACTTTTTTTTCTTAAAGAAATTAACATAGCTACCACTAACATTCTGGAAAAAGTAATTGCAAATGTCATGAAGAATGCTAAGCTGTTTGAAACATGGTGCTCTGGCTATGACACTTTCTAAAAGAAAAAAAGGAGGAAAACCACAACTTTGATATAATACCAAAATTGTTGTTTTTGAAATGTATTAAAATGTCAGCATGTGTCCCCCAGGATGTATCTTCAATACTGGCAAGGCCCTGGCACCCTTACTAAGCTGCTTAAAACAGCCACTCTTCTGAACTAAAATCAATACAAATCAAACACAAACCTGCCGCAAATCCATCAAATATTCTATTTTTCCGTAACACCGGATGACTATTTGTGCTGATAAGAACTCCAGCTTGTGCATTCCTGAAGATATCATTTTCCTCAAGAAGGCCTAACACCAAAACAAGAACATTAATTTCAGTCCGAAATCCTTTTTTTTTCCTCAGAAAAAGAAAAGGGCACACACATCTCCTATAATATGCTAATATTAGTACTACAATAATAGTACAGTAATAATATGAATAAGCCTTTTATGTTGAAAACTAGCATAGCTGAATTCCAATACGGTTTAATGAAAAAAAATCTTGAATAACAGACCTACATGGGATTATGTTGCATAGAGTTTTCTTCAATCAATTTCATAATCATGCAAAAAAAAAAAAGGCTACAATTACACCAATGGAATTTTGAATATTGCACACCAAACTATTTTGGATGGATCAAAAAAGCTTCAGTTCCATTTTTATAGTAAGTGGAAACAGTTTCTTAATCAAAACAATTAAATTTAGAAGAGTTCTTAAGGTGGTTGCATGGCCAAACTAGTAGAACCAAAAATATTTGAACCTATTTCTCTGGTGTAAGTAAGAAATTTATGGTCATTCAAGGGTAGAAAAGAACAGATATCATCCATCTGTTACAAAGAATAGTTTAAAGGCAAATGGTAAATTAGTATCAACCCCATCCGCCTGGAAATGCTTTGGAAAGTAGTAATCAGCAAATTTGGGACTAGCATTTTCAGTTCTATGGAAGCGAAGATTCTGATCACAGAATTCGATCTGGAATTCAATTTTTATTTTTATCAGCACCAGACTATTAGAAAATATAATAAAAATACAAAAATGATAAGACACTAACCTCTGCCTCCATTAAATATGCAGATTCCCCCATCTCTGCCATCATGGATTT